TCTTTCCCTTTCCTTCTAAAAATCAATGAAAAAAAATCTCAAAAAACCCACAAACAAACAAACCTCACTACAGTTAAACATTTTATGTTTGTAAAAAACAGTCAGCAATTTCCTCATCTCTGGCTTACCTGGCCAAATTCTTGTTCATATAGTTAATAGTGTATAATTATATAAAATTATGTAATTTTGGTTGATCTACTTCCTGTGAAGACAATTAATTGATCTGTGTTTTCATTTTTATTAGAGGCCTGATGCACGAAATTTGTGCAAGAATAGGCCTTCCTTCCCCTGGCTGCCGGCACCGGCTTCCCTCTGGCACCTGGGACCCGGGATTCCCTCCCAGTCCCAGCTTCATCTGGAAGGACATCTGGTCTAATTAGCATATTATGCTTTTATTATTATAGATACCAAAATGGTTGAACTCTGAAACACTGGCTGTGCCTGAAACAGGGTGCATTGCTACAATGTTAGAGGACTCCTCTTAAGACAAATGAGAATGAAAGCTTATTTTCCCTAAATATAATTTTTAAAGTCTTTTTTTTTTTTTCAGTTTAATAAGTGTTAAATATATACTATGTAGAAGGTTCTCTGTTGAACAATATGGCCTTAGCCTGGGGAGGAAATAAATTAGTTACATCAGTGGTAAAGCAATGACTCTGTAGGAAGCAGGTGACGGAAGTTCTGGCTTTGAATATTTTACTATTTTAAAAAATCAAAACTAATTTTGGCTCTCAACATTACAGCACCATTTCATTTTGATGGGGTGGGGCGGGATGAGATCTTATATTTTATCTGAAGCTAAATTTTATCTCTTACATTTCCTATATATTAATTTTAAGACATTTTTTGGTTGTTAATCTTCATCAGAGGATATTTTTTCCATTGCTTTTCAGGGAGTGGAAGGGAGTGAGGGAAGGTTGAGAGAGAGAAACATAGATGTGAGAGAGACACATTGGTTGTCTAATGCATGTACCCAGATCCAGGGCAGAGAGCAAACCTACAACTCAAGGTACCTGCCCTTGATGGAGAATTGAACCTGAGACCCTTTGATATGCAGGCCGATGCTCTGACCACTTAGCAACAATGGCCAGGGCAATTTGAAGACAAAAAAAAAAGATAACAGTCCTCAAACAATAGGGCAGCCCCCAAAAGACCCCTCAAGTATTATACAAACCTGTCTTGTCCAAGTTGAAAACCCCAGTCCTAGTAAGATATATCTCTGCAACAAAATTTCGATGATACCGATTATAATTAGGACCACAGTGGGATACCCTTCCCCCACTCAAGCATTATGGAATACGAAAAATGTAATTCGAGGAAGAACAGAATTTTCTGGTACTTTTCCTGTGACTATTTTTAGGATATCTGATATAAATATTAATCAGAAACGAATGTGCTTGTATTTTAGACTAAATAAGGCATGCACCATATAGGAACTAGCAAGCTGGTACAGTAATTCCTGGCACCACCTGAGTTTCAGCCAGACAGAACCTCACTGGCTTTGATTTTTGTTTTGTTCTTCTCTGTTACTGCCATAAATTACTTCAAAGTGAGAAAGGCACATTTATACCTTGCTAACTACTCTTCCTCCTCACTCAGCTCAAGTGAAAGATTTATGGTGTCTTCTCCTTGCCATTTCCTGTAAACTGACACATCATGTACATGATGCCAGCCTTTGGTTTCACATCAGAAAGTGAACTCCTGAAATGTGGCAGCAGTCAGTCAACAGTAGTTACATGTTCATTTTAACATAATGGACAGTCATGTCAAAGAGATGCTCATTAATTAGGACTATTGTTTCAGATAGAACTTAAAAGTAAATGCCCTTCATGTGTCTTAAGCTACTTTCTACATTGCTTCCCTCTTTCTCCCCCCAGTGCAACTGAGAAACCTAAAGGGGGAAAATAAAATATACATAGTTCATACCTGAGGCAAAACAAGTACTTTTGGAATCTATTTGGTAGTTATTATCTATGACTGTGTGATACACTAAGGCCAATTCCACATGTAAATTGACCTATGTATTTTCTGAGCACTATTAAACAACCTGTAATGTATTAATCTATGGATTTTATAGCAGAGAGAGAAAAACAACAGGAAGCAAAAAGGAATGCAGTTCCAATCTGCTAGATAACTCAGAATGAAAGAATCTACAATTTCTTAGTTAAAAAATATCAATTTCCCAGTATAAATATATGTCAATGGTACTCAGAAGATATTTCTGTTAAGTTTGTCCTTTTCTTAAGAAATGCATGTAGAAAGATGCACAATTATTTTAATGGAATTGTATTTTGTAAATAAAAACAACCTAAGTTAACAGTTGCTAAGGACAAAAAAAAAATACGTCTGCCATACTTAAAACCTTCCTATTTTCACAGAGTTCTGGCTGTTCTTATTGAGTATATTTTCAATTAAGGGCAGACTGTCCCTTTTACAGTTTTTAGAAGAGAATCTTTGATAATACACAATTAGGCTGAAATAATTTTCCAAAATTTTGATAAAAGATAATAATGATACAATCTCTTTGCCAAGTCTTTTGAACTTCAGAGTGCTCTCATGATATCCTAATTTCACTTATATGATCTCTATGAGAAAATAGTAGGCAGTTGTATATCATTTCCATTTGATAGGCCAAGAGATCAAAGTTCAAAGAAGTATAGTTGGAAGCTGCTGTCTCAAGAAGCTTCAAAGAGGACTCCTGCTACTTTTCTGAAGACTACATTTTGAGCAATAACAGGAGCCAGGTAAAAACAATTGAGATACATCAGAGGTCAGGTAAAATGCAATTTCATTTAGCGATCACCTGTCATGCAGTGCATTTCTTGTTTTAATATTTTTTAATATATAGTTATTTAAAACAATTGGCATCAAGCAGTCTTTTGCTAATGACCCCAAACCACTACTTTCCTCCCACTGAGATATTTTGAGAACTTTCTTACCTCTGCTCCAGAATATGTGTCTGTTTGGAGGATGAGTTCATTCAGATCAACATCCTGACTGATTGGCATCGAGTGAAACTGCAGGTTAAATATTTCCTTCCTTGTTGCTGCATCTGGTAAAGGCACATACACGATTCTATCGATTCTTCCAGGACGCATCAAAGCCTGGAAAGAAGATGGGGCAATGCGGATTAACCAGGCTCAAAATTGACATCCCATGTGAAAGGTGCTCAAGGAAAGGGATGTCCAGAATCTCACGAATAAACCACTATTCTTCATAGTTAGTAAACAATTTACCATAGCTAAGATTTGGAAACAGCCTAAGTGCCACCAGCAGATGAGTGGATTAAAAAACTGTGATATATCTACATAATGGAATACTAAGCTGCGGTAAAAAAGGAATTCTTACTATTTGCAACAGCATGGATGGACCCGGAGAGCATTATGCTAAGTGAAATAAGCCAGTCAAAGAAAGATAAAGAGTGGGGGAAGTTGGTAGTGGGGAGGGGGGGGGCAATGGAGGGATAAGGACACATATGTAATACCTTAACCAATAAAGAAAAAAAAATAATTTAAAAAATTAAAAAAAATAAAAACACAGAGAAGAAAATAAAATAAAGTTTATATCTAGAAAAAAATAAAAGAAAATACCTACGATAGATTCTACAATCTATTTTAAAGATTCAAAGCAATAAACAATATTCAGGCTACTTTTGAAAATAGAACAGCAATATTTCCTCAGCAACTGTTAGGTTAGTAAAAGATGACTATTGTCTTTTAGGGAAATGCAAATATGACATTCATCGTATCAAAAGATATTCGTTGTAACTTCTTGCAGTAACTTAGAATATGAGTTAAGCTCCTTCAGAGAGCCCTAAAATAAACACAGCTCTGATAAAAGACTACTTCTAGAACTGATGTAGCCAAATAAATGTTCCGCATATTTTATTGGAGGCTAATGTCTAAATTATCTTAGAGCTAATAAATTCATCTATATAAAATATTTATTGAGCATGCATTTCATACCAGACATTGTTCTTGGTATTAGGAAATAGCATAAGATAGATATTAAAAGAGACACAGGTCAAAATGCATGCGTGTGTGTGTGTGTGCGTGTGTGTGTGTGTGTGTGTGTGTGTGTAGAGGGGCTGGGTAGCTTTTTAGTTGGGAAAGTGAGAGAAAGCCTCTCTGGGGAGGTAACTGATGCAGATACCCAAAGGAGTCAGCCATACAAAGATCTGGGAGAAGAGTATTCAGGATAAAGAGAACATCAAGTGCAATGGGCAAAATGACTGGTATGTTCCTGGGAAAGAAAAATCCCAATGTGGTAGAAACAGTGAGTAGAGGGAAAAAAGGTAGGAAATGAGGTCAGACAGATATTTATGGGTAGATCAGAGGCTTTACAAGACATGGTACAGAGTCTGAATGGCATTCTTCTTGAAATGAGAAGCTACTAGCAGGTTTTAAGTATGAAAGTTGAAAAGGTAAGATTTACATTAAAAGATCACTCTTGTAGGAGAGACAATATCTAAAGGTCTAACATACATGTAATTGGAGTCCCAAAAGAAAAGGAAAAAGATGAGGCAGAAAAATATTTCATGAGAAAAGAGCCAAAACTTTCCTCAAATTGGTAAATAGAGAAACTAAGATGGCGGCAGGGATAAACACCGGGAAGTTGATGCCGCTCACAACAATTGATTAATACCTCAGAAAAACAATACGGACATCATCCAGAACCACAGGAAGCCTGGCTGACTGTAAATTCTACAACTAGAAGGAAAGAAAAGCACACTGAGAGCCAGAGAAGCTGCAGAAGAGAAGCGCAGAGGTA